CACTTTTCCAGGGTAATAATCCCTTCAAAAAATAGTAATAATTTGGTCACTCAACCCAAGACGCTCCTGTGCGCAATTGGCTGCCGTGTTTAACCCACACATTATACAGTCAATTCACTTTACAGTGTATCCTGTGAAGCGCTTTGAGACGTCTTAAAGACATAAGGAGCTATAGCAGATGCAATGATTATTAATATTATTACAGAAAATAACCAGCCTACACCTCAATCATCCCTTAATCTCCTCAGCTCCAGCCTTTCCCCAACCCCCCAGCCTCATGATCAGTGTCCTCACACTCTCATACTCTGCTCTCTCTCTCACTAGGGTTGGTTGGCTGGGTTGGGCTGGTTGCCATGTTTACTGTCAGGCTGCTCTGGTCTGTAAACGATGATGGATTGTGATCATCAAGAAGCCCAATTAGAGAGCGCTAAGTGTGGAGATTGTGAGGCGAGAGAGAGAATGGGAGAGAGAGAGAAAGAGAGAGAGAAGGTGAGACCGATAAAGAGCGAGACAGGGATTTCAGAGACAGGAGTGTGAAGAGCTCCAGTGGGGGAGCGAGCCCCGGCACAGACACGATGGGGAGGGAGCAGGGGATGGGATTGGAGAGTTCCAGCGGGGGAGTGAGGGGAGAGTGGATTTAGACTGGGGGGAGAGGTGGGGGGTAGTTCTCGCTCTCAGCCTCTCTCTCTCCCTCGATAGAACATCGCAGTGAGAAAGCAGTGCACGCCTCTCTCTGAAGCCTTCTCTCTCTCTGTCTCTCTTTACTGGGACAAACATGCAGTATTGATGTGAATCACAGTAAAATATTGAACGTCAGCAGATGTAAAAGGCAGCTGGTAAACTCTAAACTCTTTATACTTCACCACAAGCGACTCAGCGGGAAAGCACTGATTAGATTTAATTATGCAATATTTAAATTAGTCTCTCGGACTTAAAGCTACACTCAGTCACGGGGAAACTGAAAGCTCTTATAATAATAATATTTCACCCACAAAATATACAGTCAATTCACTTTACAGTGTATCCTGTGAAGCACTTTGAGACGTCGCGAAGACATAAAAAGGCACTATATTAAATGGAAAGATTATGATTATTATGCATTTGATACGGCGCCTTATCAGTCTCCGATTCGTTTCAAAGCGCTTCACAGGATACACTGTAAAGTGAATTGATTGTAAGTTTTGTGAGTGAAACATGGCAGACAATTGCGCACAGCAGCGTCCCACAAACAGTCGTAGATTGAGTGACCAAATTATTATTATTCTGAAAGGGATTATTACCCCTGGAAAAGCGATCCGCTAATTGACTAACAACCGGGTTCCTACTGACTGCTGGTAAACAGGGGCGTGTGGAGTAAGGAAACTTGCCCAACATTTCATCCTGCCGGGGATCAAACCCAGGTCTCTCGCTTGCGAGGCGAATGCTCTAACCACTGAGCTACAGGACTCCATGGGGTTCGGGGGTGGGTCGGTAAGTGGGTTCTCCTCGGATCTGAATGGCTCCGAGGTGTCATGTTTAGCAACGGAATGTCAGAACCGAGAGCCGCCCTCTGCCTCCAGTCCGGTGCCTGAGCCATTACAGCACAGCCAGAGAGAGACAGAGAGACGTGGGGGGTGGGGGGGGGGGTGGGGGAGCAACGGAGACAGACAGACAGACAGACAGACAGGCAGACAGACAGGCAGGTTGGCAGGGATTGCAGTCCTGTAGCTCAGTGGTTGGAGCACTCGCCTCACAAGCGAGAGACTAGTGTTCGATTCCCGGCAGAGGGCGAAACCTTGGGCAAGTTTCCTTACTCCACACACCTGTAATAACATAATAATAATAATCTTTGCATTTGATATAGCGCTTTTCTCATTTTATAGATGTCTTCTAATAATCCCTCAAGAAGAAAGAAAACAGAAAGAATTTTGTCACTCAACCCACGACTGTGTGTGAGACGCTGCTGCCGCGTTTCGCCCACAAATACAGTCAATTCACTTTACAGTGTATTCTGTGAAGTGCTTTGGGACGGCGAGAAGACGTGATAAGGCGCTGTATCAAATGCGGGTATTATTATATTAAAGATGGGAGAACAAAGAAAGACAGAGAACGATAGGGGGAGAGAGAGAGAAGGGCAGAGAAGGGGACAGGGAGTGTGTAGAGAGGCTGTGAGAGAGTGAGAGGCAGAACGAGGCTTTCAATATAACTTTCAGACACGAGCTGAGGGAATAACTAGCGCTGACCTGGGCTGACATGTCAATCTCAGTGAGGAGAGAAAACAAGGGGAAGCTGACAGCAATCATTTACACAAGCCAGCGAGCGAGCGAGCGAGCGAGCGACAGACAGCGTGCGAGAGAGAGAGAGAGAGAGAGCCTCCAGACACCAGTCTGCCTGTCAGAGACAACCCCAGTTACAGACAATACAGGATGGTGTCCACCCGGGTGTGGAGAGCCTTCCCACCGGTGTCTGTCAGTCAGTCACACTCTGGGCTGCGGGTCAGGAGGCTGTGTGTCTGAGCCCCACACTGGGACCTGCAGCTCTCAGTCCATCTCTCTCACACACACACGCTCACCTCCCCCCCCGCTCACACACACCCCCCGCTCACACCATCACACACCCCTCACACACACACCCCGCTCACACCATCACACACCCCCCACTCACACTATTCACACACACCCCGCTCACACCATTCACACACACACCCCGCTCACACCACTCACACATACATACACACAGCCCGCTCACACACAGCCCCCCACCCCCCCCACACACACACACACACATACACCACTCACACACATACACCACTCACACGCACCCCCAGAACTGTCTCTGCTGTCTGGCGTGTTAAAGAGCCATCCGCCTCATAAAACATTACAGAATAAAAATAATAATCGTGGAGTCCTGTAGCTTTAGTGGTCAGAACACTCACAAGCCAAATGTTGGGCAAGTTTCCTAACTCCACACGATGGTTTACCAGGCAGCAAGGAGCACCCTGGACGTTAGGCGATTGGCGGATTGCTTTTCCAGGGATAATAATTCCTTAAACAAAGCAATAGTAATAATTTGATCCCTCAATCCATTGCTGTGCGCAATCGGCTGCCACGTTTCGCCCTCAAAAAATAGTCAATTCGCTTTACAGTGTATTCTGTGAAGCGCTTTGAGACGCCTCGAAGCTGTGATAAGGCGCTGTATCAAATGCAAGGATTATTATTGTTATTACAGAAAATAACCAACAGATAAATAATCACCAACCTTCCCCTCCCGGCAGAGAACCGATGTCATCACGATGTTCCAACAGGAATATAGGTTACTACAGGCACAGGGACAATGGCAGAGCAGAGAGAGTAGGGTGACGGCCAATTAATCAATCACTAATTAGTGATTAGCTTTGACGACGCTGATCGCTGTGACCTGCCCGCGGGGAGTTTGCAGCACAGAATCGATCAGGCGCTCGCGTTCACAGCATCTGACACACACGGACACCCGTCACCGTGACCGGCCGGGCGTCTGACACACACGGAAACCCGTCACCGTGACCAGCCGGGCGTCTGACACACACACACGGAAACCCGTCACCGTGACCGGCCGGGCGTCTGACACACACACACGGAAACCCGTCACCGTGACCGGCCGGGCGTCTGACACACACACATGGAAACCCGTCACCGTGACTGGCCGGGCGTCCGACACACACACATGGAAACCCGTCACCGTGACCGGCCGGGCGTCTGACACACACGGACACCCGTCACCGTGACCGGCCGGGTGTCTGACACACACGGAAACCCGTCATCGTGTTTACCACTTTCTAAACCAGACTGAGTACTCACCCTATGTCTGTCACCTCCACATGGAAAGTACTCTCTCCCTGGAGGGGAGGGGCGCCTCCTGCTTACTTAATTCCGGAGAGTATTAGACGCAGGTTCACAAGGGCTAAGGCTTAGGGACTCCAGAGTGTGGGTTGGGGGTAACTGCTGCAGCCTAACAGCTAAAACACATAGCTTGCCATTGGGAGCGCTGACTGGCCGAGCTTCGCACTGAGGATGGAGTGTTACTGAGTGATGTCAATGTTTGGAATTCAATCCTATGAGCGGCAAACAAGACAGGATCAATAGCCTCACTCCAAAGGGAACTGGATAAACAGCGGCAGTGAGAGACCGAGAGAGAGAGAGAGAGAGAGAGAGTGTGGGAATGTTGGCTGGAGAGGGCAGGACCACCGAGACACCAAGGACATGAAGAATAAAAACATCAGTTTATTATCATCACAAACATCAGCCTCAGCTCAGGGTGTGGGGGTGGGGAGGGGGGGAATAATGTCCAGCCTTACCCCCCCCCCACCCCACCCATCTCTCCCCCACCCACCTCCCCCAGTCGCTTACTCCCAGGCGAGAGCAGAGAAGGAAGGGACGGCGGAGGGAGAGGTTGGCAATTTTGTGCGGAAAACTGGTTACTGGAGTGGGAGAGATCACACAAACAATCATCGTAATAAATAAATAATAACAATAAAGGTTTTCACAGGGAATCACGTCAAGTGTAGTGACTGTGCGGAGTATTGACTGTGTAGTGTAGTGACTGTGTAGTGATTTCCCTCACAGTGGTGTCCCGCGTGGTCAGAGGGGAGGGGCCAGGGTGCATGTCAGCCCAGCTCGGAGCAGCTTCCCCCCCAAACCCACCCCGTCACCCACCCCACCCCTGCCTCTCCTCCTCCCCACTAGTCATCCATTCCCGTGCCCCTCCCCTCACCCACAAACACAAAATCAGTGTGACAGTGGTGCAGACATGGGGAGAGAGAGATGGGGAGAGAGAGGCGGGAAGGGAGGGAGGGAGAGAGAGCGAGTGGGGGGGAGTAGACAGATGGGGAGAGAGAGGGGAAGAGAGAGGAGATGGGGGTAGAGAGAGGGGGTTGGGAGCGAGAGAGGGGGCAGGGAGAGAGAAGGGAAGAGAGGGGGAGAGAGAGAGTGGGTAGAGAGAGGGGTGGTGAGACGGGGAGATGGAGAGAGAGGGGGGAGAGATGGAGCCAGTTCTCATGAGGGTCAGTCACACTGTAGTGTCAGGGTCCGTGGTTTCGGTCGTGGTCTCTGGATTCTGCTCAGGACCATCACCTTTAGCCTCAAGAGCGAAATTCTAGGCAAGAAAATAATTCAACACAATCACACACAGCGCTTACACACACACACACACACAGCGACTCTCACACACACAGCGACTCTCACACACACACAGCGACTCACACACACACAGCGACTCACACACACAGCAACTCACACACACAGCAACTCACACACAGCAACACACACACACAGCGACACACACACAGCGACGCATACACACACAGCAACTCACACACACAGCAACTCACACACAGCGACTCACACACATACACACAGTGACTCAGTGACAGTGACTCACACACACAGCGACTCACACACAGCGACACAAACACAGTATCTGCACACAGACAGCATCACACACTCATTGTCTCTGCATGAACACAGTGTCTCCCATGCACACACAGCAACTCGCACGCTCATACAGTGTCTTTGCACACACGCACACACAGCATCTCTGCACACGCGCACGCAGTGAGGGTCTCTGCACTGTGGGTATGTGGCAGGCTGGTCCGCTCAGCGCTATCACTGTGACAGACACAGAGACACTCGGCCGCCGATTTGGAGAGAATTTGATTTTAAGTGGAGCCAAATCTTGCCCAGAGTGTGAGGCAGCCGGAGCCGGGATATCACAGCAGGAGCCCTGCCTGTGACTGCAAAGCAGCTTCTAATCTGAGCACTGATGATAACAAGGTGATAACAAGCCTGAAAGACAGCCTGAGATCCCAGCATCAAACCATAGCCTAGAGCTTTACTGTGTCTCTAACCCTGACCTGGGAGTGTGGACACACAGTGTAGAGGGAGCGTTACTGTGTCTCTAACCCTGACCTGGGAGTGTGGACACACAGTGTAGAGGAGCGTTACTGTGTCTCTAACCCTGACCTGGGAGTGTGGACACACAGTGTAGAGGAGCGTTACTGTGTCTCTAACCCTGACCTGGGAGTGTGGACACACAGTGTAGAGGAGCTTCACTGTGTCTCTAACCCTGACCTGGGAGTGTGGACACACAGTGTAGAGGAGCTTTACTGTGTCTCTAACCCTGACCTGGGAGTGTGGACACACAGTGTAGAGGAGCGTTACTGTGTCTCTAACCCTGACCTGGGAGTGTGGACACACAGTGTAGAGGAGCGTTACTGTGTCTCTAACCCTGACCTGGGAGTGTGGACACACAGTGTAGAGCTTTACTGTGTCTCTAACCCTGACCTGGGAGTGTGGACACACAGTGTAGAGGAGCGTTACTGTGTCTCTAACCCTGACCTGGGAGTGTGGACATACAGTGTAGAGGAGCTTTACTGTGTCTCTAACCCTGACCTGGGAGTGTGGACACACAGTGTAGAGGAGCGTTACTGTGTCTCTAACCCTGACCTGGGAGTGTGGTCACACAGTGTAGAGTGACTCTTTCCTATGGTGGAGGGAAGCAAACACGGGGCCGAGCCTTAAAGTCAGAGCTGAGGTCAGGAAGTGCTTCCTTTGTGTGTTTATGTATGTGAGTGTGTGTGTTGTGTGTGTGTGTGTATCATAGGAACAGGAGTAGGCTAATCAGTCCCTCGAGCCTGTTCATGGCTGATCTGTACCTCAACACCAATTACCTGCCCTTTCCTCATATTCCTTACCTAATAAAACTGTCTGTGTGGGTGTCTGTGCATGTGTGTCTGCTCGTGTGTATGTCTCTACGTGCGTGTATGCTTGGGTTTTATCTGTGCATGTCTGTATGCAAGAGTTCTGTGTGTGTTTACATGTCTGTATGCGTGCGTGTCTGCATGTGTGTGTGTGTCTGTATGTGCACATGTCTGTATGTGTGTGTGTCTGTATGTGTGTGTGTCTGTATGTGCGCGTGTCTGTATGTGCACATGTCTGTATGTGTGTGTGTCTGTATGTGTGTGTGTCTGTATGTGCGCGTGTCTGTATGTGTGTGTCTGTATGTGTGTGTCTGTATGTGTGTGTGTCTGTATGTGTGTGTGTCTGTATGTGTGTGTGTCTGTATGTGCGCGTGTCTGTATGTGTGTGTCTGTATGTGTGTGAGTCTGTATGTGTGTGTCTGTATGTGTGTGTGTCTGTATGTGTGTGTGTCTGTATGTGCGCGTGTCTGTATGTGTGTGTCTGTATGTGTGTGAGTCTGTATGTGTGTGTCTGTATGTGTGTGTGTCTGTATGTGTGTGTGTCTGTATGTGGTGTGTCTGTATGTGCGCGTGTCTGTATGTGCGTGTGTCTGTATGTGTGTGTGTCTGTATGTGTGTGTGTCTGTATGTGTGTGTCTGTATGTGTGTGTGTCTGTATGTGTGTGTGTGTGTCTGTATGTGTGTGTCTGTATGTGTGTGTCTGTATGTGTGTGTCTGTATGTGCGTATCTGTATGTGTGTGTCTGTATGTGGTGTGTCTGCATGTGGTGTGTCTGCATGTGGTGTGTCTGCATGTGTGTGTGTCTGCATGTGTGAAAGTCTGTGTCTGCATGTGTGTGCTTGTGTATTTACCATGACCCGGGGTGTCAGAGGTTGGGACAGGAGACACGCGACTGAGAGATCTCACACACTGACTGACCAGTGAGTCCAACCCTCCCATGTTCCTGTGCTGCAGTGTATAGAGTATCATTGCCACCTGGTGTCACAACGTGGGTACTGCAACCAGTGGCCGTGTGGGAACACATGGTCTGTGCTGGGGCTCACTCCCCACTGCAGCTCTCTACTCTAACCCCATCCCCTGCTCTCTCTCTCTCTCTCCCCATCGTGTCTGTGCTGGGGCTCACTCCCCACTGCAGCTCTCTACTCTAACCCCATCCCCTGCTCTCTCTCTCTCTCTCCCCATCGTGTCTGTGCTGGGGCTCACTCCCCACTGCAGCTCTCTACTCTAACCCATCCCCTGCTCTCTCTCTCTCTCCCCATCGTGTCTGTGCTGGGGCTCACTCCCCACTGCAGCTCTCTACTCTAACCCCATCCCCTGCTCTCTCTCTCTCCCCATCGTGTCTGTGCTGGGGCTCACTCCCCACTGCAGCTCTCTACTCTAACCCATCCCTGCTCTCTCTCTCTCCCATCTTGTCTGTGCTGGGGCTCACTCCCACTGCAGCTCTCTACTCTAACCCCATCCCCTGCTCTCTCTCTCCCCATCTTGTCTGTGCTGGGGCTCATTCCCCACTGAAGCTCTCTACTCTAACCCCATTCCCTGTTCTGTCTCTCTCCCCATGGTGTCTGTGCTGGGGCTCACTCCCCACTGCAGCTCTCTACTCTAACCCCATCCCCTGCTCTCTCTCTCTCCCCATCTTGTCTGTGCTGGGGCTCATTCCCCACTGAAGCTCTCTACTCTAACCCCATCCCGTTCTGTCTCTCTCCCCATGGTGTCTGTGCTGGGGCTCACTCCCCACTGAAGCTCTCTACTCTAACCCCATTCCCTGTTCTGTCTCTCTCCCATGGTGTCTGTGCTGGGGCTCACTCCCCACTGCAGCTCTCTAATCTCACCCCATCCCTGCTCTCTCTCTCTCTCTCTCTCCCCATGGTGTCTGTGCTGGGGCTCATTCCCCACTGAAGCTGCTCTCTCTCTCTCTCTCTCTCCCCATGGTGTCTGTGCTGGGGCTCATTCCCCCACTGAAGCTCTCTAACCCCATTCCCTGCTCTCTCTCCCCATGGTGTCAGTGCTGGGGCTCACTCCCCACTGAAGCTCTCTACTCTAACCCCATCCCCTGCTCTCTCTCTCCCCATGGTGTCTGTGCTGGGGCTCCTCCCCCACTGAGCTCTCTACTCTAACACCCATCCCTGCTCTCTCTCTCTCTCTCTCCCCATGGTGTCTGTGCTGGGGCTCATTACCCACTGAAGCTCTCTACTCTAACCCCATTCCCTGTTCTCTCTCTCTCCCCATGGTGTCAGTGCTGGGGCTCACTCCCCACTGGAGCTCTCTACTCTAACCCCATTCCCTGTTCTCTCTCTCTCCCCACTGTGTCTGTGCTGGGGCTCACTCCCTCACTGGAGCTCTCTACTCTAACCCCATTCTCTGCACTCTCTCTCCCCCCATCGTGTCGATGCTGGGGCGCGATCCCCACTGGCTGGACTTGTTCTGGGATGATTCTGCGGTGTTTGCGCTGGGAATGCCAGTGCTGCTTACCTCCAGCTCCCGCATCACCTCGTCCATGAAGTCGCTGCTGTTCTCCTTGTACGAGACGGCGAGTCTGATGGTGTCCCGGAACAGCTGGGGAGACAGGGCGGAGTCAGGCAGGAACCCGGTCAAGAGAGGGTCTCCCCTCTCTCGCTCGCCGCTGCTTCTCTCTGCACTCTCTCTCTCCCCTCTCTCTCTTCTCTCTCGTCTCTCAGCCTCTCTCCGCTGTCTCTCTACCTGTGCTGTCTCTCTGAGTTCTCTCTCTTTTTCTCTCAGTCTCTCTGCGCTCTCTCTCTCTCTCTCTCTCTACCTCTCCGCACTCTCTCCCCATTCTCTCTCTCCGCTCTGTTTCTCTCTGCTCTCTTTTTTGCTCTCTCCCCTTCTCTACTCACTGTCTCCTCATTCTCTCCCTTTCTCTCTGCCCACGGTCTCTCTCTCTCTCTCTCTCTCTCTGCGCTCTCTTTCTCTGCCTCTCTCCTTCTCTCTCACCTTCACCACGTTGGTGCCGTCGGCCGCTGACACGAAGTAGAAAGGTAAACCCTGTTTCTTGGCGAAGTTGAAGCTTTTCTGTGTGATTTTCTGATCAGCTGTGAGACACGAGGGGATTAGTGTCAGTTCTGCCGCCCCCTCTGGAACTGCAGCCCACAGTCCCTTCACCTCCACGAAGGCCCATCTCAAGATCTTCCCCTTCGACCGCACCTTCGACCACCCTCCTATCCCCTCCGTCTCTGCCCTCCACCCCTCCTGATCTCAACCCCCAGCTGTCCAGTGCCTTGGGATGTCCTCCCGACATGAAAGTCTCTGTGTAAATGTCATTTGTTGTTGTAATTGCACACACAGCCCTGGCCTGACACACTGTTCACCCGCGCGTGCCCTGGCACACTCATGTAGTTCACACTCACCGTCTATCTTGTTGGCCACCACCACACAGGGGATCGTGGGCCGGTACTCACGCAGCTCCTGGTACCAACTGCTCAGGTTCTTATAGGTCACCTTCCTCTGCACATCAAACACCTGCCGACAAGAACACGTCACCAGAACAACCGTCACCCTCACAACCATCACCCCGGCCACCGGCACCAGGAACCCCGTCACCTTGACAACCGTCATCCCAACACCGTGACTTGGAACTTGAGAAGCTTTACTGTGTCTCTAACCCTGACCTGGGAGTGTGGACACACAGTGTAGAGGAGCTTTACTGTGTCTAACCCTGACCTGGGAGTGGGACCACAGTGTAGAGGAGCTTTACTGTGTCTTAACCCTGACCTGGGAGTGTGGACGCACAGTGTAGAGGAGCTTTACTGTGTCTCTAACCCTGACCTGGGAGTGTGGACGCAGTGTAGAGGAGCTTTACTGTGTCTCAACCCTGACCTGGGAGTGTGGACGCACAGTGTAGAGGCTTTACTGTGTCTCTAACCCTGACCTGGGAGTGTGGATGGACGCACAGTGTAGGGGGGCCTTTACTGTGTCTGTAACCCTGGGGCTGGGCAGACACTTACCATGATGCAGGCGTGAGCCTTGTGGTAGTAGGATGGGTGCATGCTCTGGAAGCGTTCCTGTCCAGCTGTGTCCCAGAAATCTACAGCAACAGATAGTCATTATACAGGAGACTGAGAGAGATAGAGAGACTGAGAGATAGAGAGAGTGACAGAGAGAGGTACTGAGTGTGAGAGAGAGAGAGAGAGTGAGAGTGACAGAGAGACGTACAGAGAGAGAGAGAGAGAGAGAGAACAAGAGATAGAGAGAGTGACAGCGAGAAGTACTGAGAGAGAGAGATACAGAAACAGATAGAGACAGAGTGACAGAGAGAGTCAGACAGACAGAGCCCGATAAGAGAGACAAAGAGCAATAGAGAAATAGAGAGAGACAGAGAGAGAGAGATACACAGACAGAGAGATAGAGACTGAG